TTGTAACAACAATTTGTACAAATGATTTGAATATCAATAAAAATCAAAATTATCCAATTGGTTTCATTTTCTTTATTGCTTATTTATTTATTTAAAATTCTTAGAATTAAAACAATTGAAAAATAAATTCAATCATTTAATTTCAGAATAATAAATAACTAAAATAAAACAACATTGATCCAATAAATCTGTCTTATCCAACATCCAAAGCAAAGCAGCAATTAACCCAGATAGACTGATCAAACACATGAACACTGCGAATCCAATACTGCATCTTGTATCTGACTGGTCCAATCAAAACGTACTGAATTCAAAACTACTGTCTCTTTTGCTGATTAAACCAAGATAACGCGAATTTTAATCCGAATCTTGAAATAAACCGCAAAGTGCTGTGGAATTTAAATTCCTCTGAGAATATGCCCATAAAACCTTAATTCCTGATTAAATGCCAAATCACGCTCGCTTGATCAAAATTGAACCAAAAATCAATCAAACCCTAAGCCCACTGTATGAAACAATTCAGAGCTCTGAAGAACAGTGAAAACCCTAATTCTGCTTGACTGTCAAGAAAAGTCCGTTTGTCCGATTCTTGAGTCAGTTTGAGAAGTCAGGAAATGTTTGAAGCTGATATTTCTTATGGAAAAATGCGAGGGCAAATTTTGGGGTACAACAGAATGTATACCCACACTTATTGTCTCGTGAAGGGTATCGCTTGCTTGAGGAGAAAATTATGAAAGAAAAGTCATCATCGAGAGATAATTCCACATTAGATGATAATGGTAGTCCATCTCCACCATCACGCCATGAGTTATGGAAGAGAGCACGACAAAGTAAAGGAGGAGAATACACATCAAAATCTACACAAGAGGTTGCTGAAAATATTGTAAGTAAACAATGAAAAAGAATTCAAGTATCATTATATTTGTGATTGATTAATTGTGGTTTTTGCATTTTGTAGGATTCTCTAGTTCAAGAAGCTGAAAAGGTGCAATTGTTCCGGTTGGACGTGACGATATCTTAACATTAGTCATTGAAACATCATAGCCATTGCAACTTAATATGAATTTTTAAAGAATAACTCTATATTGTTATATTTATGTATTATAGGTATTTGATGATCCAACATAATTAACACAAGATGATTTGTCTGATTTGCGACTCCGTTGGGCAAAATATTTCTTTGAGTTATATAAAAATTAAGCTTTATCTGGTGAATTTTATATAATTGTCTAAGTTGTGGTTTTTGCACATAATTGTTATTATTGAGTTTTTTCACATTACATGTGATTTTTGCACATGTATTGAATTTCTTGATATTTTTTTACTGATGTTAATTGTTATTATTTATTATCAGGAAATGTGATTTTGGTGTTGTCTACTGAAGCTATAACTCATCTACTTGTGGATTTTATATTGGTAATTCAAGTTTGGAAAAAGACTTATAAATAGTTGAATATTTTTGTATGTTTTGTGAAGAATATATATTTGTAAGTTTGTTGTGATACAATTCAAATTTGCAATACAATTGTTCATTTTGTAAGTTTGTTGTGAAAAATATGAAAATATCAACCTAGATGTGGTCTATGTGATGTTGAAAAACTATGACATATATATAGCGACCTAAATTTAGTATGTATGATATTGGAAAAATATGAAAAAATGGGTACCAATTTTAATTTTACAGGGAATCATCCAGAAAATAAATAATTTATTCAAATAAAATTGCTTACATTTTACATCGGACATTAATAGCAACCGATGTAAAAACTATCAACGCTGAATCTTTTACATCGGACATCAATCCCAACCGATGTAAAAAGGGTGTATTTTACATCGGTCCCAAGTTAGCCCGATGTAAAATGTTGCGTCAATTTTTAAAAAAATAATGTTATAATTATTTTTTAAATCAGACTTAGCCTATAACCGATGTGTTAACTATTTTTTTCACATCGGACCTAGAACCGATGTAAAAAGTCTCTGATTTACTATATCGCCTGACTTTACATCGAACCCAAAATTGATGTAAAAAAATTATTTCTACACTAGTGAGGGATATACTCAAAAGGAATGGATTGACTTTAAAGAGACTTTCTCTCCTGTTTTATCGCTCTTTTATAACAATCATGGCTCTTGTTGCACATTATGATCTAGAAATCCATCAAATAGATGTCAAAACGACATTCCTCAATGGATGTTAGACAGATATTTGAGCAATCCAAAAATAGATCATTGAAAAGCAGCCAAAAGATTATAAGATATTTAAAGAGAACAAAAGACTATATGCTCACATATAGAAGGTCAGACCAGTTAGAGATCACTGAATACTCAAACTCAGACTTTGCTAGATGTCAAGATAGCAAAAGATATATATATATATATATATATATATATATATATATATATATATATATATATATATATATATATATATATATATATATATATATATATATATATATTGGTTTATGGTGCACTATCTTGGCGCAGTTTCAAGAAAACTTTTACGAATTCATCCACCGTGACAACATAGTTTATAGAATGTTATGAGGAATCCTACCATGAGATTTGGCTGAGGAATATTGTCACTAGACTGTGAATTATGAAAAGAATTGAAAGACCATTTAAGTTATACTGTGACAATAAATCAGTCGTCCTATAACAATAATTTGAGTCCTACCAAGTCAAAACATATTGACATCAAGTTCCTAATTGTTTATAAAAGGGTACAAAGTGGACAAATTTCTATAGAACACTTGGGGACAAACTCCATGATAGCAAACCCTGTTACAAAAGATCTTCCACCCAAGATCTTTCATGAGCACACTGCTCGCATGGGTGTTATATCTTTAGAGGAGTCTTTAGTTTAGTGAGAGTTAGTCGATTAAGAATTCTATATTTTGTGTTTTGGTATTATGATTTTGGATATTTTCCAAATTAATAAATTTTGATATTCAGCAGATTACATTTTGTACAATAAATTTATTGAATGATCTCACTAAAGTAAAGTAGGACCAGTTGAAAATCGACATATACAGACCAACTTCGTGTAATTTTTATGCTACACATTTCATGATGGATATATATCATTTAATTGTCTCACTATTAGTGATCATTGATGGATTTAATTATGATTGATAAAACAAAAATCACTTTGATTCTAAATAGTGGCATGATCAATGGACAAGAAATTTCAGATATGTTTGAACTATTTAATAGTAAATTTTGAGCTCATAAAATCTAAAACGGATGTAAAGTTACATATGTGATCAGTGAAAGATTGTTAGAATTTTAGGTCACAAATATAACATTTAAAGTGTTAGTGTCATTATTTTAATTAATCAAGACTTAAAGAAATTTAATTAATATAATATTAAATTTGTGGCTAAAAGTAAAAATATCATGAAAGGTCAGGTTATTGTATAGATACCAAAAGTCAATATCTAATTTGATGAGGAGTCAAACTAGAAATATTACATGCTAAAAAATAACACTAAAGTTATTTATAGGAGTTATGGTCCCATTTGTTCCATCCTGGGGTCATAGATTTGAATCTTGCTGAAAACATCCTCTCTGTTATAAAAAATAGGAGTAAGGTTACGTACATCCGAACCCTCTAAAATCATAAAATAAGAGTCTCGTGAACTGAATTATCCCTTTATAATCTTCATTTGTAGACAATGCAAAACGACTTATCAGAAATTCTCTCTTCATCCCCATCAAAAGAAAATCAAAAAACCATAAGAAATTCTACAAATTAAAAGATCACATACCTGCAAATCTTCGGCGATACCCGCTAATCTTCGATAATTCTCAATAACAAATTCAGGTACGCTTTCGCTTTGATTCTCATAATTGTATTCGAATATGAATTTAAAAGTTTTATTTAAATTTATATTCTTGATTTCTATATTGATAGAAATTATAAAATTTATGAACAAATCTATCATAGCTTTCTTGACCGGACAAAATATTACTTCGTAGTCGGACTCTCTTGGTTGGATAAGTAAATATTACTTCGTGGTCGAACTCTCTTGGTTGGATAAGTTGTTACTCAGTGATCGAACTCTCTTAACCGAACAAGATGTTATTCCATGGCTAGACTCTTTGGCCAGACATACTGTTACTCTATAGTTAGACTCTTTTAACCGAATCGACTGTTACTCTGTGGCGTAAATCTCTTGGTCGGACAGGCTATTACTCTGCAATCGAACTCTCTTAACCAACAAGATGTTATTATGTGGTAGACTCTTTGACCGAACATACTGTTACTCTATAGTTAGACCACACGATATTACCTTGTGGCCATTCTCTATTGTCTAAATTGACGGAACATACTGTTACTCTATAGTTAGACCACAAGATATTACCTTGTGGCCATTCTCTATTGTCTAAATTGATTGTTATTATGTGATCTAATACTGTTAAAGATCAGGATAGTATTCTAGATTTGAGCGACTTACAATTCAGATTTGACACTCCAGATATACATAATCCCCAAAATACAAAGCACAAATGGTCTAAACTGGCTTGGTTGGTGATTCGAACTAAACCACCGTCTTGAATAGCAATTTTTCTAGAGTACACATAAGATGTATATAGCTCCCTAAACACGAAAGATCATTAAGTGCTTGGTTAACAAATAGCTCCCTAAACGCGAAAGATCAAAACACTTAATAAAGATTGCCTTTAAATTTTCTTTAAAAAAATGCACAAAAATTATTTATGATCAATTGAAATTTTTTTTTTTTTTTTTGCACTTTCTATTTTTTTTTAATGCGATAAATTGCACTTTCTATTAAAAGTAATTAAAATGTGTAGACTAAGACTAGCTTAGATGTTTTTTTTTTCTTTAGGAGAACAGTTTAACGGATAAATATATCAAAGAAACATACTATGAAATAAAACCTAAATATGTTGAAAATAAATAAATACTACTACTACGTTTATATGCATAGATAACATTAATTTTCCAATTCAACTTTTACATAATACCGTAATAACTACGTAATGATGGTTGGTCCTGTTGGCGGCGGTGGAGTAGATGGCGGCGGAACAATATCCGGTCTAGGAGGACGCGGAGGAACAACCTCAGGTGGCTGAGGCGGTACAACATCAGGTATCGGGAACGGCGTATCCTGTCCCGGAGGAGATAGAGGAGGTTTCGGACCATCCGGTTTCGGTTTCGGATTTGGAAACGGAATGAACTCAGGAGGATTAGTAACTATTTCCGGTGGAACCTCCGGGTCTACTTCGGGTTTAGGTGTTGGAATAGTGGGATTCTCTTTAGGAACAGAAGATGGTTCGGTTTTGGGTATGATTGGAATTTCGGGCGGGGCTTTAGCAGGGTAGTCGGGTGTGTTGTTGTCGTTGTTTGAGGAAAGACTCGACATGGTGACGGTGTTGTTGATGACAGGGAGAGGTTTTCTAGGGTTTATGTTTGTGGTGGAGAAAGGTTTGGTGATGGTGTTTGTTTTTCTTAGGAGTGAGGATGAGATTAATGATGGGATTGATGATGACGATGACATGGTGATTTATTTTTCTAATGGTGCAATCAATGATCATGTGATTATGTTGGTGGTGTTGTTAGAAAAGTGAATTAGGGTTGTGGTGGGGTTATAAGGGGTTGGATTGTTGCATGATGAAAACACTTGTAAGCTGTTAGACACTCCAACACATAATCAACAATCTCTTTCATCAACACGTAATATTATTATTATTTCTATGACTTAGTGACATTGTAGTTTCAAAATTTGTGTAAAATTAAATTTAAATATTGTCAATTCTTTGGTGCCAATATGTACATATATATTTGCAAGAACTATGTAGAAGGCGATATAACGTTCACCAAGAGTGAGCAGATAATGCTCATGGTTTCAAATCTTGTATGAAAACAAAACTCGAATGCATATTTTTATAAATATTCAATAAAAATAAAAATTAAATTAAATTTATTTAAAATTTAATTTCTTTTTAATTAGATTCATGAGAAATGATTGTAATAGAGTAGGAAAGAGAAAATATTATTTTTGTTTTTAATTAATAAAAAATTATGATTGATTGTCCGTAAAATCATATATTATATTTGTTTTTATGTAAGTATTTTCTTGGTCTCAGATTGTTTTTTGCTTTCAATGTTACGCTATTTATTGTAACGAGCGTCCTCCATCTAAAATAGTTGTCTTTTGAGAAGGTTCGCAATTGCGGCGGATGTAAAAATTATAAAAAAATATTTCTTTTCTCATCCCCACCATCTATTTTTGTACACAACATTTATAGTTAAAATACACAGATTTTCAAAGAGATTCTTGCGGAGTACCGTAGATGTTTAGGGTGTTAATACATTCCCTTTGCATAATCAACCCCTTTATCTAGATTCTCTCCCCCTGTTTTGGGTTATTTACTTTTTTCCCATTCCTTTGGAAACAATAAAACGCGGTGGCGATTTTTATTTTTGATCTGTGGGAGTCAAGTCAATCAAATGACTTAGTCTCAACATTTCCACCGCTACAGATACCAGTTGCTAAAAATCTACAAAACCTTCTACATAAAAATAGAGCTCCAATCATTTGTTTCATAATTTTTCTCCACAAATAGAAATTGACAAACCTCCTTGAAATCAGCTTGAATCTCTTCAATTTTCAATCTAATGCCACATAAGATATCATAATATTCCAGAATATTTTGCATCTGTAACAAACATAACTAATCAAATTGTCCAGCTGATACACATGTGCGATGTTGAATGGCTCTACATAAAACATCTTTATTCGTCATGTTTCTTCTGAAGATAGAAATTTTTTGTTCGACATGTTGTTCTTCACGAATTATAACATCTTGTTCAGCAACTAGTTTTACCAAAATTAGTCAAGACTTTAAAGCTTTCAATCTCCCCTTTTTGGAAAATCATGGCTAAAACTCCTTTTGTACAATAAATCTAGGAACAAAAGTCCTCACACCCTTTTGCACAATAAATCCAGGAACAAGAGTCCTCGCACTCCTTTTGCACAATAAATCAAGGAACACAAATCCTGAAGAACAGAAGTCTTGAAGTCAATTCAACCAGAAGCCTTTATTCTTCCTGTACATGAGGAAGAAGATAACTAGAACACACATCTGATCATCTTGTTGCTCCCCTTAATCCAGGAACCGGTTCTTGTCACAAAGAAACATAAATCTTACCCTAAGAAACCAAACACCAACTCGGATAACTCAGAACATAGGATACAACTGTGTTCATAACTCAGATAAAAAGATACAAAAACAGAAAATGAGACATGACTCGGACATGATGTTGGACATGATGTTGAGATAACCTGTTAAACATCCTTGTAAAACAATTGCAAGAACAAGTGTAATACTCATATGGAGGTCAATACCTTTCTCCCTCTTTTCAGCCAAAAACTGACAAAGATATCCCTAACAAAACCATACCCAGACTGTACTCACCCAAACTCGGATAAAAGACATAAAAGTTTTGATGAAAACAAACTAACATAAGATGAATGAAGGGATGACTTCTTTAAATACCTGAGCTATTGCTTAGGAATTAACGAATCTTTACAGTAGTAACGGTCTTGGTCAAAAGAGTGTTATTCGAGGAAAATAAATTCACCAAAAATTAAGCGTGCATCGTCTACAGAGCAATCTTCATGCCTTAATTCATTCTGGACTATTTTACATGGAATTTAAAATTACACTGACTACACATGCATGGTCAAACACACGTGTAACATGTACTTGATTATAGCGTCCACAAGTACCACTTGTTGATCTTCATAGAGCTAAGTCATGAACAATGTCCTAACATCTAATCAGACATTGTCTGCTTTCTCTTGTCTTCAAAAGAACCAACATCTTTTTCAGCCTTCAACCGGAAAATTTTTAGACTAGGGCCACAATATGGTTGGAAGAACAATTTCTGTAGGAAATACTCCTAGAAATTCATATTTTGAAGCATTATCACAATGCCTTCCACTGACTTCCCAATGACATAATCAAACTTTAACTACTAAGTCCTCCATGAACAACACCAGTAACAAGATGTCTGAATATCTTTCCTGACATCACATCCTCATAAGAGGTATGAAATATTCACAAGCTTGAACAACACACAAGCTTCATAAGACTTGCACCATTCCAGCAACAATCCATAGACAAATACTTAACCCCCCCCCCCCCCTGTCATGGATAAATAACGCTCCTACTGAACATATTCACACCCTTGTGAAAATAAACCTGAACTAGATACTCTAGCTCCTTGAGAGCATATTCAAGCCCTCTGACTTCTTCACTTTGACAAGGTAAAAAAATCAGTTTGCTTGCTTCACATGCTTCAGACTGACACACTCTTTTCTAGAGTAATTTGCATTAGAAGAAACCCACTTCATCATAAGCTTTCTGATCAGATCACACTATCTGATATCATTCATTTGCCCTTACTTGCAATTGATGGATATTAGTCATGCATTCATCAAACATACTACTGTAGTCAAGATTAGAATCTTCTCATTCTAATCCATATATCCAGAAATGCCTCTTCTCACAACAAAGTTGAGCATCAAACTTCACATCCATAACCCCAAGCATCTTCAATAAGAACGATGTCACAACACCATATAGAACATTTTCTTCTTATCACATATTATTTACTGTGGTTTTTGATAAACAACTGCTGGTCCCCAAAAAGATAAGTTTTTTGGTTTACTTGCGAGATCGACCAAACTAATCCCAGAACATATGCTAATCTTTATGTAAAATGAGTAAGAAGGAAGAACGCATGTTCGACCCAGGGGAAAGATGTTTAAGATTATTGAACAGTAAGCAAAAGCATAAAAATGCAAGCAAAAGAAGTAAAAAGATGACTTTGCATGATAATGGTAAAATAATGTAAAAAGACTTTTATTAAGTAAAAAAGGTGTTTCTAACGTGCATTGCTCTGCTTTTATCCTTTCTCACGCAGTAGTTACTTGGATAATATTTGAGAGATTTAGTACCATAAGTTGAACACACTTAAAAATTACACAAACTTCTTAATTTATACTAAAAGTAGGTAACCGTCGAGGGGATATTCTGCGCTTGGATGAAGACAAGTGTCTTCTGCATGCCTCTTGACCCATAGATTTTTTCCACGTTCCCTTCCCTTAGACACTGATGAAAACCACCTTTCCCTCCAATAATTCAAATTTCAAATGGTCTTCATCCCATGTGCCAAGGCGCGAACACTTTCCTTCAATCGAACAACCTAAATCTGCTTCAGTCGAATGAACCCTCGGTCAAAGACTCTTATCATAACTTAGATCCTTTTTTCCTAAGTTATCTCGTGTGTCGAATCATACCTCCTGGTTTAGTTCATTCCAGTTGTTTGGTCCAAAAGACCAAATACAGTAAGTGTCAAATTTGGGAGCTAACAAATTGCCCCCCCAAGAATGTCTATTTCGACGCCCAAAGAAATAGCCATTCTTTGAACTTCCCATTCGACACCTGTCTTCCTAGTTGTCCACCCAGTTTTTGACGTGTGCTTTTCGCCTTCCAACAGCTGCTATACTTGGTAAAAACATCATTACTTTTCTCCAAGATGTCTCTTCAAAACTGTTGTTACCATGCTTGCCATTATGGCCATATTCCTATAATCTAGGCAAGCATGTCCCAACGTTTCCCAATGCCTGCACGGTAATCGTTTCATGACTTGCCACGTGCCCTACTACCTGTGAAACATTAAATGCCTTTGACGAGACATCTCCCACTTCTGAAGGCTATAAATACTTCCAAGTTTTTCCATTTGGAACTTTTATCATTTTCAGCTTTTCCAAACCCCTTGCATTCTCAAAACATTGTACTGTCACCTTCCCTATTTCTCTTAAGTCTTTAACAATGGCCTTTCTCTCTAATGCCCCAAACAATCCGCAACCAAAAAATGCTAATGATGTTCAGAAACCACCAGAGATCTTTTCCACCAACCCTCCTTCTTCCTCGACTAACAGGTACATTGTTGAACCTATGAGAGAATGGCGAGAAGCCTATGATTCTTAACTCCTTATTCCCGTCAGATACGGCAGAAACATGTATGCTATGTCCGGCCCGTTATCTTCATGCGTCGAAAATCCCTTAAAAAACTGTGCCTTTTTCCCTACACACCCAAGGCTTAGACCCATAGGTTGTGCCAAAAAACCTAGGGCATACCCTGAAGATGCTACACCAGCTAACCAGCAACATCCTCAAACTACTGATGATATCAACCTCCAGTTCATGAACAAAGGGAATTGAATCTTTCGATCAAGCCCTAACCTTTCTTCTGAATACTCCGACTGGTTGAATAAAATGGAGAGGGTGCAAGCTTCTGTCTGGAAGGAGATGGGCATCTATGACTTAGTGATGTTGTCGAAGACAGGGCTACCTTATTCCCCCCTTATGATGGTATCCTCATTGTACTTTTGGGATAGTGCACATTTCACTTTTCATCTTCCTTGTGGGATGATGACCCCTACTTTGTTCGACATAACTGCCATCACTGGTCTTCGACCCACTG